ATTTAGGATCAAGTTGAATTGCTTGATTATAGTCATTCAACGCTTTGTCTTTCTCACCAATCTCTTCATATAAAATGCCTACTATATTAAGTGGAATAGAAATAACCTCTGTTTATATAAGTTAAATTATATTTAGGATTTATTTCAATGGCTTTTTTGAAATCTCTAATTGCATAATCAGTCAATTTTTCATTCATATAATACTAACCTAATATGATAATTATGATTTTACCTCTACACATAAATGCATAATAACAATTCCTATCTTTTTCTATAGCATCATTGTAATATTTTAGTTCATTATCCTTTTGCTTCAATTCACTCAAAATAGTGCCTGAAGATTTATGGTTATTTTATTACCCATTCTACAATAGCCCATTGAAAAGTCTTTATTAATTTCCACACATTTCATACAATCTTATATTGCTTGATCATATAATTATTTTCTCCAATAAATTGTTGCTTAAGCTATAAGATTTAATAAATACCTCTTTAATAATAACTTTCTGGATCATTATTGTTTATGGATATGCTTTAATTGGCATCTTCCAATGCCTTATCATATAATTTCATTTTTTCGTATAATTCACCTATATTGATATTTAAAACATTGAACTTCTTAAAGTGTAGGCTTTGGCAAATTTAGGATGAAGATTCAAAGCATTATTTATTTCTAATAATGCTTCTTCAGTTCTATAAGTAATTTTTAATTCCTAAAAACGATTCCACTAAATAATTGTACCTAGCTTTTATTATAATGCTCTAACGCACCAGCATTCTCGTTTTCCTTTTAACTTTTATCGATCATTATTGATTTTAGAGATGTATCCAAATTTTTTTTATAAATAAATAATAACATTTAGGGATTCCTCACCTAACTTAATATCAAAGTTCCAATGAAAAAAAATAAATATTTTACATTTATAATATTTGAAAAGCCCAATAGAAATATATTTTGGATTGTTTCGGTCTAATTTTCAAGCATTTGATGTTTTTTTGGTATTCTGTTGAATTCTTATTATTAGAGGCTATATAAAATAAATGAATACCTAATATCTAATTAATTAATGGAGAATTACTCAAAAAATTAAAACAAATAAGTGATTTTTAGATGATGAATTACAACTAGGTTTAATGTTCTTTATTTCCTTATTCAAGAGACAATAATTAAGTTCTTTTTCCAATTTTTCGTTAAAATTTTTTGCCAGTGAGTTTTTAATGTGGGATTATAATATTTCTGATCACTAAAAAATATTTTCTATTTTAAGAATTAAGCTAATCAAAGAAGACTAGATTTGTGTATATTCATTCAGAGGTTTTTTAAATTAATTAGTATTATAAAATAAAATTAAATGGAATTCTAATCTAGAATTTATATTTCAAAGTAAGCAAGTTTTTAGGTTGTATATCCAATTGCAGCAATTTCTCTTTCTTTTTTTTTCCTGTATTCAACTCATTTCTAAATTGACTTATTAGATTCATAATCATGTTATTATGAAATTTATGGATTCAATTAAATTTCAAATTCTTAAAAATTTCAAATAATTTCGTAATTAATATAAATTAGTTAATTGTATTTTTTTGTTTTCATAATGTAGATATTAGTATTATTGTTATTAAGTATTCAATATTTACAATATTTATTTTAATTAGAATTCATAAAAATGGTAATTTCAAATTGTGAATTTCTTAAAAATTTATATTTTAAGAATAACTGTTGAAATTAATTTGCTATTTCTCTTAAATTGTCTTAAATTTTTTTTTTTTACCTGAACTAACTATTCTATTAGAATCTAAATTATTGCTTAAATATTTTCTAGTTAACAGTTATAAAAATACAACAATTTTTGTAAATTAATAACCAGCTTTAACTAATTTTCTTTGAATTATATTTCATCAATTAATAAATATTTTCAAATTTACAGATTGAATTAATTTTTTGCTCATTCTAACTTTTATTTTTAGCTTAAATCCTTAAAATATATCCACACAAAATTAATAATTTATTTTTTTTTTTTACATAAGATGAATTATCTCTAATATAATCTTTCTCATTTAAAGATTTATATGAACAGCCAGTCATATTGAATCATTAATAGATTTAAAAGTAACTGATAAAACTCAAAATTTAATCTAATAATTTATTTTTGATTATCTGAAGCCTTTTAATTTAGTCAGATATTCTTAGTTTATTAATAATTATATTAACAATTAAATATTCTTACATATTATAATATGTAAATTATAATATCATAATTCTCTACGTTTCTTATTTATATTTCCTTTGATTCTTCATCCCAAATGATTAAATACTCTCCGTCATCACTTAATTATCGATATCCTATAAGTATTAAACTCAATAGATTATTAAACTATAAAATCACCTTTTTCTTTCTTCCTCATTAATACATACATCTATTATTTATAATAGGATTAAAATGTAAATTAATTAACATAATCTTAATTCCAATTAATCTACTTTTATATTTTATGTAACACTCCATTTTTATCCAAATTTTACTACTCTATAATTAATATTTATGAATGATTATACAATATTAATATAATCAGTTATTATTTATTAACACAACCATTAATCTTATTTCATCCAAAATTTTATTGTTTTATTTAAACTTCTTGAAATGATTAGATTATCAGTATTATTTAATAATAAACTATTTATAGCATCTAAATGGTCATTCAATTTTTAAGTAATCTTTGTTAAAAGCAATAGAACCACACCATTCATCTTACTTAATTAAATATTCTTTCATAAGATCAAATTTCAATGGTTTTATATTTGGTTCTAATATACGTACACACTTTAGTTATTCTTATATTGATTTATCTATATTAAATTCTAAAATTAATAAATTATTTTGGACATGTCTATCTATGCAAACACTTATTATTTAATTATTTTTATGATCAGCTTAAGTACAAATTTATCTACATTTTCTATTTCTATTTCTATTCAATTAAAATTAATAATTAAATATTTAATAATAATTTAGACTTTTAAGAATCTGAAAAACTAAGACTTAGATATTTATTTATTTTTTACTTTGTGATTCAAATCATTTTTCAAAAAAAAGAATTAATATTCCAAATATATGTAAATTGGCTTTTCTAATAATTAAATATTTTAGAGTACTACGATGAAAGATTTTTTTTTGAAATCTTATAAACATTTAGACGAAAAAGAATATCTAATTATCTTCATTTTTTCATAGAATTTGATACAAGATTTAATGATTAATTAGTAAGTTACAAAAATAGGGGAATGAAGCATGGAGAAAAATCAATAAAATTAAATCTCATTGAAAAAAAAATTTTAGTAAAATGATTCACATGCTTTACCAATAATTAATAAGGTTGGTAGATATCATTTAATGAATTAAGAATTTTCTTATAATCTATAATTTAGTAGAATTCTAAAAAATTAGAAATTCCAAAAAACTCAAAAGTGTGAATTTTTTAACTCTATATACTATAACTAAAAATTTGACTTAAACTTTTGTAATATGGTTGATGATGCAAGATACTGTTTCCACAAAAATAATTTGAATTTTAATCCTTTATAAACTAAATCCATCAAAATTTATAGATTTAAATTTTCTAGGTCGTTCTTTCAACTTATCTTATACTTCCTATATATTATTCTTTGGATATTTGGCTAATACTTTTATTAATATCAAATCACTATAATAGTATTACTAATTTTTGGATGAAAAAATCAGGATACTGAAAGTTATGACTTTTTAATTTATTTGTTTCAGGAGAAATCTAAAAATGTTCAGAAAAAAGATTAATAACTTTAGTTAAAACATTGAGAAATTATATCTCTTTAGTTTTCTTTAAGTGATGTAAAAGGTATAACTGTTAATAAATTTATAATTAAAATGATAAAACCTAATGACTAATGAAAAGAGAATACTGCAATTAAAGATATCTCTTCAATAACAGTATATATGATGAAACTCAAGAGAATATTGAAACCTAAAAAATTATTAGAATATTAGGAGTAAAAATTTATTAAAATTGTGAAAATCTATTATTCTAAATGAGCTTAAACCATAAGTGTAAGGATTAAAAAATGTTAAAGTAGAAGTTTTCTAGAACTTATCTAATGCATACAATATGGTACTAAGAGATAAGAAGTTTGAGTCGCTCAGATAATCTCAAAATATCTTCATTATATGTAAAGTATATGCTTCAGAATGGATATACGAGCAGTTGAATATCTAATATCTTGTACTAAAGAAGAAGGAACATTTTGTAGATGGAGTTCAAAAATATTACTCAATCTTCTCTTGTTTGGCATCGACTTCGATCTAATTATTGATAAAATTCATCGATTGAGAAAGCCAAAAATACCAAGCTTAGTCATACTCTCCTGCTCAAACCGTATTCAGAAGTTAAGTACTTTGACAGACGCAAGCGAAAAAGAAAAGCTTGAACCTCTTCAGGAAAGAACTTCCCCTCTATCGTGGGGAAATTATCAATATGATAATTTAATTTTTCTACCTTATTTAAAAGTAAATTATATGAAAATCTAAAATATAAATTCAATAAGTTCAATAAGTTGAATTGATAAATTATTCTCAAGCAGCGGGGAGAGATAATTTGATGAAAATGTTTAAAAACTAAAAAGAGACTATCATTGCATAAAGTTGATAATATCTCTTATTAAAAATATAAATTGAAATACAAATATAAGAACTTTTTAGTAAAATACTATATTTATTTTTTCTAAATATCATATATCAGTAGATTAATTTATATCCTAAATTATTTAACTTACTTTCCATTCTGAAAAAAACAAAACTACAATTTTAGATAATTTTAATTCTTGAATGAATAAAATTAATTAATTTCGAAATTCTGTTTATCTAACCTAAATAATATTCTACAATAATCATTTATATATAAACATTAAGTAGAGCAGAAAATTATATTGAGATTCATTATTTTTATAATCCTTTTTTATCATATTATACATTTGAACAGTAGATTTCTATAAATTTTGGATTTTTATTGGTCTTTTTTATATAAAATATGAAATTAAGAGAAAATTTTAATTGTTTTATCTCAAGATTGATCTGGCCTAGGAGCTTCGCAATTTTTCGAAATGTCTAATTATTTGCTCTAAAGTNCAATTAAAGATATCTCTTCAATAACAGTATATATGATGAAACTCAAGAGAATATTGAAACCTAAAAAATTATTAGAATATTAGGAGTAAAAATTTATTAAAATTGTGAAAATCTATTATACTTTTCTTTGGCTATTTCTATTTATCTTACTTAAAATTTCCAACAACTATATTCTAAATGAGCTTAAACCATAAGTGTAAGGATTAAAAAATGTTAAAGTAGAAGTTTTCTAGAACTTATCTAATGCATACAATATGGTACTAAGAGATAAGAAGTTTGAGTCGCTCAGATAATCTCAAAATATCTTCATTATATGTAAAGTATATGCTTCAGAATGGATATACGAGCAGTTGAATATCTAATATCTTGTACTAAAGAAGAAGGAACATTTTGTAGATGGAGTTCAAAAATATTACTCAATCTTCTCTTGTTTGGCATCGACTTCGATCTAATTATTGATAAAATTCATCGATTGAGAAAGCCAAAAATACCAAGCTTAGTCATACTCTCCTGCTCAAACCGTATTCAGAAGTTAAGTACTTTGACAGACGCAAGCGAAAAAGAAAAGCTTGAACCTCTTCAGGAAAGAACTTCCCCTCTATCGTGGGGAAATTATCAATATGATAATTTAATTTTTCTACCTTATTTAAAA